AAGTTACATTACAATTTCGTAAGTTACAATGTAATTTACATGAAACGTAACAAAGTAATTTATGTCATACATCCCTATCTGATGGTAACCTTAAACAATCGCAGGTCTGTACTATTCCTGCAACTAATGCTGGTGACAGCTTTCTTGTAAACTGCACACTTGATGCAATATCAAATACCCCCACACTACCAATATCTATTCGGGTTTATGGCACTGTGGGAGCGCAAACTAGTATAATGGGTTGTGCACAAATAATTGCATTTTGAAATTTTAGTTGATATATTATATAAAGAATACATTGAGAAAGCTATGTATATGATGCGCAATTATATTAATGAGTAGAATAGTAGTTTAGTTTGTATTATTTATATCGGAGTAGATGATTATAGTATACAATATATAAATCGATATCATAGTTATTTGAAGTATATTTAGTACGTATAAGTACAATTACATCATTGTTTTTTCATTTATTTAATGATCTTATTGTTAAAAATTATTAATAATATACTATACCACACTGATTAAAAGACACGGGGTCTAAAACACAAAATACCTGGTATATTGTATAGTATGTTAGTGTTGTAGTGATGCCATAAAAAATCATGATGATCTTCATGCATTATCGAAATTTTTAGTCGAAATTTTTTTTATACGGGTAGAGCTATCAACAAAAGTTTTTCTAAACATTTAAGAGCAGATATCTCAACACCCACTTATCAAATTCAATAAAAATTTTTTTATCTGAATTCTGTGCATCTCCAGAATCCGAATAATATATAGTTATTTGGCATGCTGTAACAATTGCATCGTAATCTGTATGATCACGATTTTATTGTTATACATGACAAATAACATGAAGTATTTTGTGTGGAATTTGATTGGGAGATGTCTGGGCTCTGCAGAGGCCCAGACATCAACCAGTCAAATTTCACATAAAATATGTTAGTTATTGGTACAGAGCATTCAATAACAGTATTATCTGGTATCCTATGATGATCAGAAATTAAATTTAATAATAATAATAAATTAAACTTTAAATTAAATTATGTAGTACTTTTTAACAACGATTAAGTTACTAATACCTTAATAAAAAGAAAATTTTGACATAATTTTGATTTTATATAAATATCATGTTTGTTCATTTATATATTTTTCTTTATTTCTTTGCAAAATCATGCTGTAAATAAAAAAAATACCAAAAGTTACAAATAAAAAAAATTTATTTAAACTCACTAGTAAAGAAATAAATAAAATAATTAATGGTGTAATTTTTGAAAATATCTGCAAAGTAACTGTTAAGTGGGTTGGAATCTTAGAAGCTTGGTATTCAGAAGTTGGATATAACTATAGTATCAAATCTATTACAAATAAAGATCAACTTGAATATGAAATGATTAAATTTATTATTAGTATCTGTAAAGTCTGTGATCAAAAAGAATATTTATCTTTTTCACTAACAAACTGTATTAAACTTTTAAGCATCTACATTTTAAAACATACAAAAGCAGCTACAAAATATAATATAGACAATAAAAAAAAATTTGTCAAATTATAAAATATATTGAATAGAAAATTGAAACAGCTAAAAAAAATAGTATTGTGTTATGACATCATGATCACCTTAGAGATGTGAAGTTAAAAATGATTTTTTAACATAAAGCAGTTTCTAATGATATATTACAAAAGTTACTTTATAGTATTTTTATATGGTGTTGCCTTTTATTTCAACCCTGTAGTAGCAAACACTATAAAATATCTATAGCAAAATTTACTTTTACATCTATTGATAGTATTCACTTTACAAAAAATTACTAAAAGAATAACAAAATAGAATTAACAAAAATTCTAATATTTATATTATTTCTGTGCCTATAGATCCTGAAGGTAGTCAAGAATCTATTTATGATTTTAAGCTCTATTTCTCTAAAAGACCAACTATCTTTAATTGCACATCACTTTATTTACAATTTAATAAGAAAGCAAATGATATTATATATTATTTATATTATTGTTTTATATTTATTTATTTTTATTAATTTTATATAAATTTATTTAAATTTTCAAATTGACAAGTAGTATTATGATATATAATTAGGTAAAAAGACTTGTCGAATATTTTTAAAAACTATTTGTATTACTGTTGACATTAATATAAAGGATCATGATATTGTCAACTATTTTGGTAGATCTATGCTTATTATATTTTTATTTTAGAAAGAAGTCTCTACAGTTACAACTATGGTATTAACTGGGTATAAAAATAAATTATTATATCACATTTATGTATACCTATCTGAAAAACAAAAAGAAAATACACTTTTACTGCTAATTAACAATATTAAAAAATTGTTATTTTTGAAATTTTAAGTGAATCAGAAGCATCAAGTGGATTAAAAACCTCAAATAAATCAGAAGCCTTAAATAATTCAAAAATTTTAAGCCAATTAAGACCTTCACATATATTAAAGGCATGCTTATTTATTTATTTTTTTTTACTAGTTATTTTAATAATTAATTATTTATTTATTTATTTATTTTAGAAGCTTAATACAAAATAAAGTTTAAGTTGTCCTATTTACTCTATATCATCAATAGTTTCATTATCAAAGTTTTCTATTTTTAAACTATTTCATGCACTATTCCAAGATTTACTCAAAATAAACTTACTATTGTACTCAAATACATTTAAAAAAAATCTTACACTTGGTGGTCAACAAGTTTTTTATAAAACTTTCAAGATAGATAATTTTGAAAAAATAATCAGCAATGCTACAGTCATTAAAAATTACTATATTATAGCAGAAAATATTACTATCAACTAAAAATATATATTTAAATTAACATAAATTTGATGTTTTTATTATTGAATTAAATTGAACAACTATATAATTTTAAAGATATTTAGATCTAATACAGCAGTTTTTAATAAAAAAATAAACTATAAATTATATAGCTTAATTATATTTAATAAAAATAACTACAAAATAATCTAAATTATTTGACAAATCTGATCAAAGTAGAATACCAGATAATAAATACTTATTAAACAGATACTGTATAATAACTAGTTTATTTGGTCAAAAATTTAAAATCAAACTAAGAAATTAAATTCTAAAGGAATTTAATTTTTTAGATAGATCTTAAATTCTTAACCAAATAATTAAGTTATAAGGCAGTATTAGCATATCTAATAAAAGATTTATCAGATAACTTATTATAATTTTCTGCTCAATAATTTTTTTTTTTTTTTTTTAAGGTGACCTCTTGGTTAATTCTCTTTATTCAGTTATTAGTCAAGTTTTACCGTACGCTAGGCCCCTTACGATGCCCGTACAGTATACATATTTT